CAACAAGATGGCCCGCCCCTCTAAGAATTTCACGGCATGTAGTAATTTTTATTTAAACAAGGCCAGATCAAGTCAAGAGCTATTTTTTGCGTCCTCCATTTCCACCTCTCACCAAACTTAGGGAAAAAAAACGGTGCAGCGCTAGGCTGAGCTCTGTGTGTGGTCCTCACAAAGATAGGAAGACGTGTGTGTGTGTGTGTGTGTGTGTGCGATGAAAACTCTGCTTTTCTTTAATCATGTAGCACTGATGCGACAGCTTTGTAAGCTACTTTTTCTTTCTTTAAAATAAAATGCGRCAGGTGAAGCCACAGCATGGTTACCTTATCAATAATTTAGAATCACCAACACAGACCCCGGTGCGACCAGGTTCCCGCGAGTCCGTTCATGTTCTATAAATAGTGCTGATCAGCTGCGCAGCTGTAATGTTCCTCATCTTTGAAAAAAGTAACCAGAGTAGTTTGTAAACTCAAATCCAGACAGAATCAGCTGCTTTATAGGTCCTGCTGGACTCAAACATGGAGCTGAGCTCCTCTGTCTCACACTGCAGGTCAGACAGTCCCGTTCAGGAGCATTAACCCTTAAAGGCCCAGATAATAATCGGTCTTTAAAATGTGATAAATAAATTATTCTCAGTGACTGAGAGGAAGTTTTTTTGATAGTTGCATTTTTAACTGTTATCCTTGTAGGGATTATTATTAGCGCTTGATTAAAGATTTATCTTTAATCCATAAATGCTTGTGAAATGTTTAATTACCTGATCGGAGCACCACTGAAGATTTTATGGTAAAGCTTCAGAAAAACCTCTCTTAATAATCAGAACAGTCTCTAGCGATAAAGGGATGAGAACTTGGCAGTTTTCTGATGCATAGACATAATAAACACAGAAAAGAAGTGATCAAAATTTGGAGGTTCATCCGTACATTCTTAAAATGAGGTTCAGAGGAAAGTTACAAAGACACAAGCTAAAAACCATATTAATTTCACAGACTGTCAACAGCGTGACGTTAGCTTAAACAAGATGGCTTCTACCCAACTTTCTGTGCATCTATTCTCATGAACCACAACTAGTGAGCTAAACTACCAGATATTTACTCTAATTAGAACAAAAGGGAGCTTGAAAAGAAGAACGGTGTCCACTCTGATTTGATTTAGCTTAGATCACACACCAGCAGATTGATAAAGCAAGCTTTGTCCTACCGGCAACGTTGCAAACGCCAACATGGATACTTCTCTGCTGTTTGGGTTGAGCACTGAGGTCCAACCGGGTCGCTTCTGTTTAGCTGAGCGACAAGTTCCTTGGTYGTCTGAAATTGCCGGAGCAGCATCTGCAGGAAACTTCTTTCCAGTGCCACGCAAAAGTTTGTTCTTCAGCTGGTAGTGAGCGTCGCAGTTGCTAGGTTAAATCAATATGAGAAGTTTTAACCCRTTAGATCCCTCTCCTCGGCAGAACTCCGTCAAGTCACGACTAATAACTTCAAAAATAAAAGTAAAAATAAAACAACTAAATTAGAGGTTCTCCCCTGATGGGGCGAGAACTTAAAATCCATCTCTCTCTTGCTATATCTTCAGATGCAGGATTTAGACTGCCCTCTGACAAAAGTCTACAACCCTTTGTTAGAAGTTTCCAGGCTCCTGATTTGCTGACCTGGTCACGTGACATGCTCCCACAGACACACACAGTAACTTATGGTTGTGAAACATCGATAATCATGAAACAAATCTTGATTAAATCAGGGTTTTACAATGCATGAGCCTTACTTAATATCAGAGTACAGAGACATATTCTTTTGACATTTTAAGGATGATTTTTGTAGTTATTTACAAAGTTAAACTGGAAAAACAGAATATGATGCAATTATGGGTTATTATGATTCCAGCAACATCCAGTGGGTGACGCTGTCGACTAGCGGATGTAACTAAAAAAAACTCCTTTGAAGCTAATTTGGCATTCTTTTCATCAACAAAGTCCTGTGAAGTACTATTACAGAGTCTGGTTCCTTAATTAAATGTTCTTTGAAGGGACAGACGGGCTCCTTACAATCTGTTCACAGGGAGGTGATAAATGAACAGGCCAGAATCAGAGTCTGTCTCTTTGTGACATGAAAGGGTCAACTTCTCATTTAATTTTATTTATCTCCAGTTCATGAGTCCTTTGCAGGATGTAAGATCAAAGGTGAAAACAGTTAACCAAGTCAACAGTGGATGTTGGAGTAAAAACAAGTTATTCTCCATGGTTTGTGCTACAGTGTTTTTATCTATAACAGAGCTTTAATGATTATTACTGATAATATTTTATTTAAAACATGTTACAGAAGTCATAAGAAGCAGGTTTATTTTGAACAAACATTACAAACGTGTTCATTCTTACAAAACTGTCAAATATATTTAAAAACAACACTAAACTGATTCAGATTAACATGAAATAAGTCCTGTTTTATAATTAAATGTCTGTTTCCTGCTATAAAGAAAAATCCTCCTCCTGTCCTCCTTGTTCCTCATCAGGGTCAGGGTGGGGCTGGACCCTGTCATCGCTGCCTTTGGGTGAAGGCAGGGGACACCTGGACAGGTCTCCAGTTCATCAGAGACACCTGGACAGGTCTCCAGTTCACCAGAGACACCTGGACAGGTCTCCAGTTCACCAGAGACACCTGGACAGGTC